GGATAACGGAGAAACTGGCCGCAGTACACACGATATAGTGCCTAGGGTCTCACACAAGCCAGTAGGATGGAATAGAGAAGAGAGTTCGTTACAGGACACGGGCCTTTCCCCTCATATCTCCTTCGCTTCAATCTTCGAACACATGACAACTGCTCGTGCGGAGAAAAAGGAGATACAATTCACTATGCCACAAAATGTCGTTTTACCCTCTCCTGGCATTTCCAAACTCCAACAGTGTCACTAAAATTACAGTGGTTGAAAAACATTCTCACGAACAACTTCTCAAGAACCCGACTTCGACTCCTAATGCGTTTCATATGTGATGAGAACAATCTCATTGTAGAGGATAATAATTGAGCACTCATCCACCCAGACTGACACACACTTCCGGCTAATTATGATTTTTTCCCTCTACGTATTTTTCTATTTTGTATTGTTTTCTATGTGTTCTGTCCAGTGTATGTTTCTTTTTCATTTTCATTTGTTCTCGTACCTGTAACTTGTTTTTGTCCCTTCTTAAAAAATAAAATTCACCTCCATCCATCCAAACCGGAAAGGAGCCAAGTGGTTCTAAACACGGGGATGCAGGTGGTGTAATGTAATGTATGTATAGTCATAGGTAATGAGACTGAGAGCAGTTTGTGAGAATAAGACACGGTGCTTGCACGAGGGTTGCTCGATAAGTCGTTGCAAATCTAATAGAGGGTACACTCGACCGTATTGAGATTATTTTTAGTTATCAGTAACTCTTGAAGGGTATGAAATAAATTTTCATTCAGATATATTAATAATTTAGCGCTCGTTTGAATCCTTTAAGTACCATAATTTTTGAAAGACAAATTGAGAAAGAATTTCTCACAGTGATGAAACATCATTTTCTGAGCCCAGGGAAAATAGCCCAGGAAAACAAAGCATAGATTGATATACCCTTTGGTGATTCTGCGCGTTCGATTAGAGCACTTTATAAGTGGCCTGGTAACTTTCGAAGAGGCCATATGAACACACGTCGCGATGAGCATCCAGAACGCCCTGTTGAGATTACTACTCTCAGGAAATTGTTGAAAAAATTCCATGACGTAGTAGTAAGTTACTGAACGGTGAGGGTGCTTGAAATTTCTAAGACTACGAGCATCTAAATGACCATGCAATTAATATTTTGCACGAACCTTTACACATGAGAAAACTTTCCGCAAGATGAGTGCCGAGATTCCTAACACGGGATCCAAGAAGTGTTTCCAGGAAAGTTTGAAGATGTCTCAGTGGAATCCACACTGTAAAAAAAATCCCGTAAAATCTACGGTTTTAAACTGGCAGCTGGGTTGGTTCTGCAAAACCGTAAAAGTCACGAAGTAAATCCGTAGGCACAACGGTTTTTTACCATACAGGAACAAGTTTTTCCCGTAAAAGTTAGGAAATAAATCCGTAGTCACAACGGTTTTTTACCGTATGAAATCAAGTTTTCTCCGTAAAAATTAAGTCATCGAAGTAAGTGGCGTCATCGACTGAGTTGAGTTGTTTTCTCCTTCTGTTCGAGTTGAGTTGAAATGTGCTGATGTGTATTATCAATTAGGAATCTTAATTTCAATTAATTTAATTAACATAATTTTTAATTGAACTTACTTGGACGATTTCGATGCAAGATGGTGACAAAACTTCTAACTCCTCTGAGCAGGGGATCGAAACCGCGTTCATAGAAATAAAAGGCAATCGCTCTAACCACTAGACCACCGGAGACTTCAGAAAATGAAGTAAAAATAATCTATTTGAGTTTTAAAGTCACTATAGCTCTAGTGGCGCCACCTAGTGGTGTAAAAATCAACTATTGTCAGAACTCGTGTTTTAAGGTTAGCTTCCATGAGTGACAACAGGTTACTGCAACATGTGAAGACAACAGCGGAGATGGAACCCTATTAAAAACATGAAATGAATGCAATAAAATTACATTTAAGAAAAGGGAAAGATATCGCACGGAACGCAATACCGTACGACGAAAAATAGAATTTGAACTGACGGTTTTAAATCGTTTATGGCTGGAGCGGAAAACGGTGAAAAACCGTTTTGTTAACAAAACAGCTTTAAACCGTCAAATATACGGAAAAAGTCCGGGAAAAAAACGGTTATTTTTTACAGTGCAGATGAATTTTTGTGTCTTCTTTTAATAGTGGATGAAACTTGGAATCAAGCCTATCAGCCTCAGACAAAGGAACAATCAAAACAATGGGTTGCAAGTAGAGATTCTGCCTCACAAAAACAGAAAATCGTTCCTTCAGATGATTTTAAGATGTCGCAAAAATCGATTTTATATAATTTTATTTCCGAAAATTATCGACAAAAAATGCCAAACATTGGCTAAATTTTTATTTAATCAAGGTTTGGATTAAAATTTCAAAAAATTGCTCCGAGATACATATTATGCATATTCTCTCCTTCCAAAGTATTTTATACCAAATGTGATAGCTCTCAGTACAACGGTCTCTCCGGCAGAGCGCCAACAGACATACCGTCAATCGCTTTTTTTATAAGTCCACATGATAGTAAAACTAATATAACAGATTTTTTAGTTTTTAATGCAATGTTATTTTTATGCTTAAGTTTCGTATTCAAAGATAATAATACCATAAAAGAAATAATAATAACATAATAACATAAAAATAATAATACCATAAAAGAAATAATAATAACATAATAACATAAAAATAATAATACCATAAAAGAAATAATAATAACATAAAGATAATAATAATATCTATAAAAATATTTTAAGCGCAGTCCTTTGAAATGCAATTAAGGGCTTAATTTTAATCCATTAAACAACGCCAATATAGAGACGTTTCGCAATTATCTAATCTGTAATTTTCAAACATGTACGTGCTTTAAAAAATATCTTTAGAAAATCATTTGTAGTTCTCCATTTTGTTCCTTTATATTTCAATTTCATATTATTGTTATACTACCAACCACTGAACATTTTTTAAAATATTGTACAGCTTATTTTTCTAGATTTTTTCCAGCTGATATTTCGTGGGAGATCTATAACAGAGGAAAAAGTTATTTCATAATAAAACAATCAGTGAATTATATTGCTCTTACAAAGTTACTCTTTATTCAAAAATAAAACCAGCGGAAGTGGTCTCCCCTAAACTTTCTCGTATACTTTCTAAGTGGAGATTCGTCAAAATCTCGAATTCGAATTTTTTTGACGATTACAATACTTTCTCTTTGTATATGAGAAAGTGAAACAAACAAACAAACAAACCTAAAATCAAATATCTGTTACCACATTTCAAAAAAATATTACTTTGAAGCAGGTGCGATAAAATAGGCAATGCAGTGAATACTAAAGCGAAAAATTCTGCTTTGGAATTGAATTCCCAAGAAAACAATTTATACTACCACAACCGTAACAATTGCAAAAGCGCGTAAATAAAAGATTTTCTGAAATAATGAGATCGGTTTGAATTTTATTTACAACAATAAAAAAATTGTTACAATTCATGTTTGAAAACATTATTTATTGTTGTAAATAAAATTTACAACAATAACAGATTGCTACCAGTACGCATGCGCATGACAATCGGATTAAAATAAATTGAATATGCAATTTGAACGCCTCTTTTTGACGGATTTGGCCCAAAATTTTATACGGACCTACATTCATGACGATAAAACTGTGTACCAAATTTTATCCATCTAGCTGTTTAAGTTTTTGAGTTATCGTGTTTACATGACCGCGAACTTACAGACAGACAGACTTCCCGTTAACGGAATTTGTCCAAAATTTGTTAGAAACCTACAAATTATGTTTAGAGACCACATACCAAATTTCATCCCCGTAGCTCTAATAGTTTTCGAGTTATCGTGTTCACAGACAGACATGATTCCAAAATTGTGTTTTTCGGACTCAGGGAGGTTTAAAACGTGGAGATTCGTCAAAATCTCGAGTTCAAATTTTTTGGCGATTACAATACTTTCTCTTTGTTTACTTAGTATACGAGAAAGTAAAAATGTATTAATGTTTCATCGTTTAAACAATATCATTCAGCTTAAACTGGAATTTTAATTCATAAAGTATTATTTGATCCCTTGCAAATGTTTTAAAGAATGCAGTGGATGGAGAAATTAGTATTAAATGATGCACTGGAAAGGGAAAATTGCTGTTCCGTTTGTTGTATATTCTTAAGGATGCCAAAATTTTCTTATTTTTAGATTAAAATTACTTTGAAATTTGTTTTGTTCCTTCTCATGATTTCCCTTGAGGATTAGCTCATGCGAATAAAATTGTATTTTCTGACTGACATTTTATTCTTCACCACAGAATATCCTGACGAAAAGGATTCATTCGAAAATCAATTTAAGAAATATTGGAAGAATGGAAGTGCATAGGAAAAAAATTAGGTAAATATGGAAATCTTTTTTAACAAGAAAACTGAAATTTGTAAATTTGTTTTAAGAAAAAAAAACTACTATATTATTCGGATAGAAATAATCATTGAAAATGTTTTGAAACCTCATCTCTTTCATACCTGAGGGATGAAAGAGATTATTCATTCCCAAAAAATGTTTTCGATCATTTTCAGATAACGAATATTTTATTCAGTTTTTATAAAGAAGAGTAATAGGAGGATAAATTCTCTATGGGATTTGTTTCATGAGGAAATGTGAATGTCTTTTTGTATGAATTAATTCTTACATTAAGAAAAGCTGTAAAATTAGTTCAATTGAACAAATACGAAAACCTCGTGCGAGAGGGGAGGACATTTGTTATATGTAACATTTCTATTACAGTTAAATTTGCTTCTAATAGAAACATTTCTGTAACAGGAGTAAAATAAATGAAATGGGAAAAATCCACATACATATTCATCAAATCAAAAAGCATATAACAAAAATAAAAAATGTTCAAATAGAAATAAAACAAAAAATGGTTCAAATTGAAGGAATGAATTGCTAATTTTAATTCTCCTAAAGTGTATCTTGAGAAAAAGCAAAACGGGGACCAATGCAGCTCACAGGATTCGAACATGTGCGGATGAAACCCAAAGGATTTCAAGACCACTGCCTTAAACACGCGGCCACGGTTGCCCGATGGGTCTAAGCAAGTACATCTGTCATTTTCTTTCTTCCTATATGTATTCTGTAAAATACAAAATGGAGGCCAATGAAGCCTCCAGGAATAGAACCTGTGCGTGTGAAACCCAATGAATTTCGAGCCCACTGCCTTAAACACGCGGCCACGGTTGGTCGATGCGTCTAAGCAAGTACATCTGTCATTTTCTTTCTTCCTAAGTGTATTCTGTAAAATACAAAATGGAGGCCAACGAAGCCGCAAGGAGTAGAACCTGTGCGTTTGAATCCCAATGAATTTCGAGCCCACTGTCTTAATCACGCGGCTACGGTTGCCCGATGCGTCTAAGCAAGTACATCTGTCATTTTGTTAGATTGCAAAAATTGCATCTACATCATTTTTTCGGCTTTCTCAACATTTTTAAATATTTAAATCTTTGCCACAAAAATTTAGTTAGCATTGTGTGGCAACTCGGGCAACTTTTGAAATTCAAACGGGTATTTTTGGCAGTTTTACTTTAAATCTAGATTTTTCTTAATTATTTACTTGGTAATTAACTTAATTATTAATTTTCTTGACTTTTGTAGTTGTTTAATTCAATTTCTTAACTTTATTAATTTTTAATCAAATTATTTCAATGGGACTATTTCCCCGACATCTTATTCCGCGGAGGAATTTCGGTGTGAACAGGAGATAGCGTCTCTCTGGAAGCGGTTTTCTTTGTTCCTTTTTTTGAGCTGTGATTCAAGTGACACAGACGTTTGAGCCGGCAGCTGTAGGCCCGAGGACCTTAACGGCTTTCGGGACCTCCCAGATAGCACGTAAGTTTGCAGCAAGTTTGATTTTGACTTGTCATGGCAAAATTTGACGCGTCAAACTTGAATCGAACTTGTAGCAAGTTCGATGTGACAAATAGCGCCACCTCTTTGCAAATCAAACTTGCTGCAATTTTGCAAAGCAAGCTTCCTGCAAAGATAGCACAATAAGAGATAATTATCTTTGTCTCTGTTTTAAAAAACATCCGATTTTTAATAGCATCTCCTAGACCGTAATTCTTTTTTATTAATTCAATAAATCAATGATAATTTGTGAAAAAGATAACTTTTTTATAAAAAAATTTTTGAAACATTTTCCATCTTTTTACTAAATATATCACTCTCACTTTAAAGAAAACTATATCGCCTTTTTCTTAATGTTGAAATTTTAACGTTTATAAACAAAATTAAATCTAAAAAACAGTCAGTGTTTGTTGAACAATAATAACTAGACATTTTGTCCCATTTTAAAGTAATTACTTTTGAACTCTAATTTCATAATTTATTTTACTAGCAAAACGTAGTTATTAGCAAAAATCGCTCTCTCTTTGACTTCAAATCATATTCTCAACTCAAAAAATTAATGAAATCCAGAAAATAGTTAAAAATAAATCGTATACGAATCGAATAGAACGATGTATTAGCGAAATCTATCTTCCCCTCTCAGAGTTCCACTGGCTCAATGGTTTGCGTCCGGGAGGTCGCGAGTTCTATCCCGGGTTGTGTTTCGTACTCTCTTTTTGCTTTAATTTGCAATAAGTGTGCACGGCAAGTTTGCTGCAAGTTCGTTTCATGGTGACTTCGGAGCTTTCGTTAACTTGCTGCAAGCTTACTGCAAGCTTGCACTCTTGTCATGACAAATTTGTGGCAAACTTGCACTCTTGTCATGACAAATTTGGGGCAAGCTTGCTGCAAACTAAAATTGCTATCTTGGCTGTTCCAACCTGTTCTTAACGAAAATTTTTTCCGTTAAAAACTCTACTTGAAGTATGCTTCAAACTGTTACCATTTTTATTATTATCAGATGTAGCTGATAGAAAGACAAGTTCTACGTAGGGGATTACAGCCTTTGTTGCTTCAAATCCCATAACTCCTATCATTCAAGTTCAAGTTCTACGTAAGAACGATGACAAGATGTTCAACGATTTTTGAGCGTGTGTGCTTCTGTAATTTCTAAAACTGTATGGAAACAAAGAAATGCCGAAATGAAGTGCAGTAACCTATTCGTTAAAATGCTTCCCTGAACAGCTATGAGAAATTTTCTACAATTTCAAAAGTCAACGGTTGTGTATTGACGTCAGCCAGCTACATCCATCATGTGTTTTACTTCAATATGCTGATATGTGAATTCCGTTTTTCTGCATTTAGAGTATGAGTTTAACTCTTTTTAAGATTTCACCTCTTCAACGTCCTGTCGTGGAGTGAATCTAAAATCTACAACATCGTTTATTTTTGCTACAGCAGTGTGAAGTAAACGAGTGCATCTAATTATAGCTATTATCTGCAAATTTTGCTCGGTGTGTCACACAGTAACAAAATTTTTAGTTTTATTTCATCTACGAACTCCGTTCGGGGATTGAAGATGTTTTGATGTTGTAATAATCGTCATGGTGGGTGTATGAGTCTGCAGAGATTTCTTCTTTTTATTATTTTTATTTGTGGTAGCTACTGCATTTTTTGTCTGTTTAATGTGTATTCTATTTTTGTGCATCTAAATAATAATCACATATATTTTTATTTGGCAGTAAAAAAATTATCTATTTAAAATTGGTAAAATAAAAAATGTTTAAAGTCAAAACTAATTGAATTTGTCTCATTTACAACGCAGTACTTATTATGTGTTTTCAGGTTTATTTTTAGTAGCCCAACATGCAGATACCTGATAGGTAGGTTTCGAATATAAGGGTGAAATATAACTTGTATTTTATTGTGTAATTTAAAAATAAAAACTATACGATCACCAGTGGTACCCATCCAATATTATGGTGCCTATTAATAGGTACAGATCTAATACATTTTCTTTCTTCCTAAGTGTATTCTATAAAATACAAAATGGAGGCCAAAGAAGCCGCCAGGAGTAGAACCTGTGCGTGTGAAACCCAATGTATTTCGAGCCCACTGCCTTAAACACGCGGCCACGATTGCCCGATTCGTCTACGCAAGTACATATGTCATTTTCGTTCTTCCTAAGTGTATTCTGTAAATCACAAAATGCAGACGACCGGATTCGAGCCTATGCGGGTGAAATCCAATGGATTTTGTGTCTATCGCCTTAACCACTCTTCCACAACTGCCCGATGTTCCTAACGGGCCACTTTCTCGATGTTTCATCCGGAAATTTTTATTTAATGACACTGAGTATGCGAGCAATTTGATTTATTTTTCTAAAATTCTTATGAATTTAGGAAGTGATTGATGAATTTCATGCCATAACTTTTATCAATAATATTGGCTTAAGGGAGAAAGAATTTCACTTAATTTCTTTTCATATCAATAGGAAATCAGACCATGGTCTTAAGGAATAGCTGAACATAAGGGAAACCTCAAAAATTGTTGATTTCGAAGTTTGGACGAAATTTTATTTATGCCACAGACTACTTTCCGAGAAAATTTATGTAAGCATAAACATCCTTATTTTATTAGTGGATCCTAAATAATGCCTGTATTTTCTACATATTTAGTTTACTAATATAGAAAATACGATATTTTTAAATTCTATTGCCCCAAAAATAATTTGGGGGTTTTTTACAGTAAAAATATCTTTAAAACTGCAAATGAATAAATAAGCTATACTTTTAGCTCCCATTCTGAAACTTACGAATGCTGGCACTTTTTTTTCCTATTCTTATTATTTTCTTTCAGGCTAATATTTTTATTATTATTTTTTTAAAAAGAAGGTCAATTACAAAGAATGTGTTCACTCAAAAATATCGCTATCGTCTTCTCTATCCTTTTCGATACTTATGATTATAGAAATCAATTCTATATGCTTTTACTCTTCCATTTTTCCATTTCCTAGTTAGATCAGTGTAGCTTACATGCTACTGCGACTGAATTTATTATTCTCTATTATAGTAATCATATTCAATTCAATAAATAAATTAATATCTAATTTCCCGTAATTCAAAATGCATCGAAATGAATTATCTGACTGAAATTAATTTTTAATGATCTTCCTTTACCAAAACTTAATGAAATAATGTATAATGTAGGGATACTTCAAGTAGTATTCAGTTAAAAAAATCATTACTATTCACTTCAGAATGTTATAATTAAATCTTAAAATGCACCGTCAGTACATGTTGCGAATAATAATAGATATTTCTTATTGTTAAAAAACATTTGGATATTCGAAATTATATCTTTAGAAATATATACAGGTGGGTGACAGAAAAATGTGAACACGTTTGGATTTGAACATTTTTTCGAATATCTCCCGAACGGATGGATTGTATGGAAAATGGATTTTCGTAGAACTTCGATCATGTAAAGAAAAGGTTTGAACTCACAATTTTCATGGAAGATTCGGTCGCGAGGACATTTAGTGAACCAACCAGAAATTGCTTTATACGAACAAGGATTTCAGCTCACCCCGCTTCACAGAAAGCGGATAATTGCAACTTTCATCAATGGTTAAGTTTAATTTGCACATTGCTTACATGAATTTGGCGGGAACTAAAATAGCATGAATGTCCCGGAAGATATTAATATTTTTTAAAATTCCAAATTTTTCAGAATGGTTTTTGCATATAACATGCAAAGTTTACAAGCAAGTTATACGAAACTTGCAGAACTCCCGACAATATGTTAAAGAAACATTGTATTAAAATTTAAAGTGAAAACTTTGGATATTAGAGGAAATAAAAGTAGTTGCTAATAAATAAATTTTTACTGCGCATATGCGAGACATAGCACGATTTTTCTTTCATAACTTCAAAGACAGATATATAGGGTAACTCATATAAAAATTGCAATAAAATACCGCTAAGATTCAGAAAGATATCGGCTTTGCAGCTAGGTGAATTTCGGTTACACTCTAAGAGAAGCTGAACGCTGAGGGTTGATGCACAAATTGATATGTTTAAAACTTGAATCGTCGAAATGCAATTTAAATAATATATTTAATGGCCATATCCATGTATGGGATACATGGATATTCAGTATAATCAACTTTCATAAAATTCTATATTATTGTATCTTTT